CAGTCTCCCGTTACTCTTATTACATATCCACCATCACACCAAAGAAAACGAAAGGGAAGGGGTAATGAGCATGAGAATGAATGAGTGAAGAGATGCAGTGGCTTACCTGTCAGCCATCAGCTGTGATTATTCATTTTAAATACACTTAAGTGATAAATTGAGTGTAAAATTATTGTGGCTTTTTCTAGAGCTTGTCAAAAATGGGGGGAAAATAATGTAGAATTCCTTTTCATTCAGCAGAATCTACTGTAAGGAAATGTTTATTCCTGTATTTTTCATGGAATTTAGTTTAGCATACTGGTTTTAGAAATTATAATTTAAGAATTTGTTTTTGTTTTCTACTCTTTATAGTCTGTGCACTGTTTTTTTCTTCTTCTTTCATGACCTCCAACTTTTTTCATTTGCTGTCCTTGAAAGACAGGCTTGAGGATACAATAAGTTTAAAAAAATCGTAGGAAATAAACCCCTTACTTTGCCTCTTCTGTTATCTTTTTTGTTTAAAAGAAGAAAATTTCAGGAAAAATATCAGCGTGTTCTATTGTTTCATATAATCAGGTTCATCTTAAAATTCCTGTCAAAACATTATAATTTAACATTAGCATGTAACTTGATTTATATAGCAAGTAAGACAATTGTGCCTGCTCTGAAGAGCTTGCAGCCTGTCAGGAGACAAGACAAGACGCTAGGGGGGATTACGCCATGAAGGGAAATAAATGAGATGAGTGACAGAAAAAGGAATACAAAAAACATCTTGTGAGTTTAGATGAATGTTGTAACACACATAATGTTAGCTCCTATGTTTCCTTTTCTCTTTTAAAAAGAAGTTTTAATGTTTTTTAACTTACTGAAGTCCTTTGATAAAATTTTGCAAAACATATAAACGGTTTAAGAGCCACTGTTGTATTTCCACAAGCATACAGTCATTTAATATACACGAGCCTGGTAGCTAGTCAGTTGAAAACCAGGTTCCTAAACACAGGGTTGTTATTTTGTGTTTTGGGACAGGATGTCCACTTGGCTCTGTACCATGACTTACTTTCACAGAAAAGTGTTTTCAGTGGAGGCTGATAGGGAGAGTTCATAGAAAGAGTGGTTTAAAAGTGAATGTACTTCATGAAAAATCCTCTTGTAAGCAAGATCTTGGAAGATTATTTTGGGCAAAGATGAAGGTGTGATTTGAAATTGAAAGAAGTTGCAGCGCATAAATTATCAAGAAAGAGGTTCTGGGTATGTCTGTGAAAGACGGACCAAAAGAAGGGTAGAGAAATAAAGAATTGGCATTTTTTATTGAGTTGGCATATTGAGGGCTCAGCCTTGCCTTCCTTCTTTCCTGAGTCACTGGTGCTCTCCTTTGCTCACACCGTGCACTGACACCTCTAATATACCTCATCAGCTCCGCCAGGCTGACATGTCCCTTTCACTTCTTTAGGTGCTGTAGCACGTCCTTCTGTAGTCAGTCTTAAGTACTTCTGTTCTTCAGAATGATGTCACCAAGTCTCTGGGAATAATTATATTTTAGAGAAGAATATGTCAGCTAAGGAAATAATTTCTACCTTGTTCTCTCAATAAAAATCCCAACCTTTGACCTGCTCCAGATTTTACTATATAGTGTACTAAAGAAACGCAGCAACAACAAAACCTTTCTGACGCTTTGTTTATAAGAAAAGCCCAGACATAACCAGAGACAGTTTGTAACATGAAAGGACAGCACAAAATGTTTCTTTTGGTAGCTGAAAAATGCAGGGAGCTACAATCCTGCCTGCATGGATTAGAAGATTAATAGTGAATTCTGTAAATTGGAATGTAATATAGTTGTTTGAGAATATATTGGTGTTTTCAGTGATACAAACTTTTAATGGCTTGGGAAATATCTATTTCTAATAACTGTGTATCTTGCCTTACATTCCTGAGATGTTCCTAGAGTTTGGGAAGAAAATGTAGCGACTTTTTATGTCTGAAAATAAGATATTTACTGAAGAAGTAATAAAATAGTTAAGACCTGCATTTCCTAGACTTCAGAACTAACTAAACCTTCAGTCTGATACAGCAATAAATTGAAGGACAGTAGGAAAATGCTTCATGTTCTAGATTTAACAACAACGAATGAGCAGGTATATTTTTATCGAAGGAGACTTCTGACCTTTCTTAGTATTTTGAGGGGTGGCAGTTGTTCCTGCACCATGTGATGTGAGTACATACGTGCTTGACCTCCTCTCCGGTACAGGGCCTGGGAAGGGCACTGCCCAAGGAGCTGTCTGTGGGCTGTAATCTTGGCTCTTCCACTGTCCTGTTGAGTGACCTGGGGCATGGCATGGAGTTTGAGTGTATTCCTTGCTTTCTTGTGTTTTGTCTCCTGTGGACAGTAAGCACATCCAGACAGAGGTGATCTTTAGTTACACATTTGTTCCAGGGCAAACCCAGCATACTGCTAACCCTGATGGTGTCTCTGCTTGTTGTACCTTCCTCTAACTTTTTCAACAACTGCAACAAGGCTTCTGCCTTGTCTGTACTATAGGAGTAGTAATGTGGGTATGCTGTCTATGAGTAGCCCTTGTGAAAGAGTAGCAGCAGAGGCAGGGTGAACTTTGCTAAACCCCTAAGATAAGCAGAAGATAACAGAGGGTATTACCAAAGCATCACAATGCAAAGATTCATGATGGGTTACACATGCCTTTCAATTTTGTTTTTTTTCGTTAAAAGTATGTTGGAGCACTAGAAAAATGTAAAACCCATTAAAGAATGAGCTAACGAAAAGCCAGCCCGGTAAACAGGACAGCTTAGCTCTGCGCAACTAGAATCTGTTTTTAGGATGAAACAGAGTTATTTCCTTAGAATTCTGAAAAATATTAGCACATATTGCTGTAGTAGTTGCTTTCTAATATGGTGTCTCCTAAACAGCCCCAGAGGCATTACCTACACCATGAAAGCCAGTGGTTGTGACCATGCACATGGCCATGGGGTACTCAGGTGGCCATGGATTTCAGCATGTTCTCTCACAAGTGTCTCCTTGATACATCTACCAAAACAACATTACAGGGTGGGAATTACCACAACAGCTGAGAGTATGAGAATCTGCCTGGCTGGTTAGGAAGTTCAGAATAGTGGGATTTATGAATTGGCATGAGGTTGTGAGAAGATGGGCTGAGATTTATACATGTATGTGGAGAGAAGAGGAATGTAGGACAGTGTGTGGAACTTAAACTTTCAATATCTTCATTTTAATACAGGTAATTCATAACTAAAAGCTTTAAGGGGCTGTAGAATCAACACTCTAGTGAAAGCCTTTCTTTTAATGAAACCCTGTTCTTTTCTTTGCATTTAGAAATTATTCATTTCATGGCTGGTTCTTGAACAAAATATCTTCTTCTAGATAGGAGTCTTTCAGAATGATACTGGGATTAGTTTTTGAGCTGCTAGTGGCATGGAAGCAGTTAAATACCATTGACCCTGAGTCTTTGAACCACTGTCTTTCTTCTCTGTGCCTTCACATGTTTAAGGCCCACTGCTTGGGTCACAAGATAACTGTCCAAAAATTTCTAGTTCAGTCGATGATATGAAATAGAAAAAGTGGGCAAAGGAACATTGGAAAAAGTGAAACAATCACATCCTTTGGGATAAAAAAAAACCAACAACCAAGCAAGTCAGGAAATGTGTTGCCCACTGACAAGAAAGAAATAAATAGAGAAGTTGTAACCTTGTGCTGGTGCAAAGAATGGGGAATGCCTGGGTAGATCTTTGGAGTCCCATTGCTTGGCTGGCCAGCCTTGAAAGACTGTAAGACTTCAGTCGGCAAAGCATTATTTAAGATGTTCTCAAAAATAAGCAGGCACATTCCTTGAAGTTAAATATCTGTTAAGATGCTTTGCCAGCCCAGTTTTTTTCTGGCCATAACATTTCTAGAAGTTACAGTACTTAACAGGAGATCAAAATTCATGAATGAAGAGATCTCTCTAAACAAGGTTGCATTATAAATGGGAAAAATAAATGTTACCAGGTTTCCTGAACATGTATACACCAACATAGCTTATTTGTAACATTTCAAAAACACGAGAGAACTTTCTTTGTTTTCTGTTTCCTGTAACTTAGGCTTGATAGCATTAAAGATTTAAATCCAATAGTAATTAACAATAATTGTCAGAACAGCCTGCATTGCCTTCTTAATTTGTCTTTTTTCCAAAAAAATTGCACAATAAAGGAGGAAAACTTCTAATCTGCCTCTCTAATGAAATGTACAGGAGCATTTAGATAGACCTTTTTTGCCTGCGACTTTTTCTTAAACCTTTACCAGGTCCCTTTATCTCATTCAGCGCAATGCAGTTCTTACTAGAAGTGAAGTAGTTTTCCCTCAGCAGCAAAATTGAATCACAAGTTATGAAGTGGAGTTGGCACAGAGATTTTGGAGGCTTATATCTGATCTACTTAACTTCACATGCTTTTTGCTGTTGTAGGATCAAACCCTGAAACTAAAGCAAGATATTTTTTTCTCACCTAAAAGAAAACACTGTAGTCAGGGGAGTGCCATTTCTGATCTGTGTGAGGCTCAGTTTACTAACAGTGAGCAGAGTTTGGTTAACTTCATATTCTGGACAAGCTTGTAAATTTGTCCCCTTCTGATGCTGTGATCTTATCAAGGTTGTACTGTTTTCCTTTTTCCTTTTCTTCTCCTCCACCCCCATCTTCTTTCTTTCCTTTTTCTTTTTTTTTTTTTTTTAATTGAAGTGCAGCCTTCTGATCAATGTGCACTTTTTTTTTCCATTTCCCTAAATACATCATGAAAAAGGATGAGGTTTCCGCCTTAATTGCTTGTGCCTTTTATTCACATTCCTCTCTCAGCCAGAATTGTGAAAAGAGTGTTAGTAAAAGGCTGCACAATAGAGCTTTTCATTAGGCCTCAACAAGGCACACAAAAGAAGGCTTTTGGAAAGAGTGAATGCAGGACTTTAATTTGCAGGTGGAGAGTAGATAAAAGGTGCTGACGCCTCTATTATTCTCTTACTTAGGTGACCCTTACCCCGTTCAGCTGATCCCAACTACCATGGCAGCTGCTGCCGCAGCAACACCAGGCTTAGGCCCGCTCCAACTGCAGGTAAGTCGGAAAACAATGTAGAAGAGGCAAAGGTTAAGTAAATATGAAAACCAGTTTTCTCTTCCATTTGAACACAATGCAAAGTCTGTTCGCTTACAATTTGCATCTGAAGCAAAACAATCATCAAATCATACGCATTTTCTTTTCTCCTTGCGGGAACTTTTTGTTACATTTTGTGCCTTTATTGTCAATTTTACTTCACATTTCCTCAGAGCAGTGTGTTTGCTTGTCTTTCCCATTAGCTAGCTCTGAATCAGGCTGTAAAGGCTGTCTAGGTGTAAACCAGCAAAAGGAAACATGTTGCTGGGCAGACAAGCTCTGTCCTGACAAGCACTTTTAAACTACTTAAAAATCCTTAACATGATTATGTCCTTTTAGGCTGTAAGCTCTTCAGAGCAATGACCACCCCCTCCTACAGTGTTTTATGGTACCCGGCACATCTTAGGCACTGCTGTAGTGCAGATAATTAGCGATTATACTAATTTAACATAGGCAATTAGAAAACAGGTGGAAAGATAATAAAGAATCTTTTTTGGGCTATGTAAAAAAGCATTGGCCTGGTTGCCAGATGTATCTGATTCAAAGCTTCCAATATCACTAAGTTTTGGAGGTATTATGGTGTTCATGTGTCTTAATGATAGAGTTGTAAATGTTCCTCAGGTGCTCCTGACCAGCCCCAGAACCCTTGTCAAATCACTGGAATTAAGAAAACGTGAAGTTCATCTCCAGAGTTTGAATTTTGTTACCTGCCGTATATGCTTTGCTGGTAGGATGAAGCTGGCTAGAATCTGGGACTAAGATCCAAATCATCTCTGGTTCTGCAAAACCTGGATTGACACTCTTTTGTAAAAACAAGCAAAATAATCCCATACTCTCCATTGCTAATTCGTCTCCCTGCTCATTAATATTTGCCAAGTCACATGGAACAGCAGAGCTTTATACCTGCTTAGAAAAGCTTGGCATTTATAAACAGTACATGTAAAGTGCATTTTGAAATTCAGTTTGGCCAGCATCAGTAGGAAGTAGACTCTCTGCAGCATCAGATATTTCAGTTGTTTGGCCAGCATACGAGAGCGTGGGACATAGTTCTGGGGAAGAGTTTTCTAATTTTTTTATTTTAACACAGCAGAGGAAGTTAACTGAGTTTCACAGAAATAGCAGCCAGTGTGTAAGCTGACACATTCCATGCACCACAGAGGTTAATACATTCATTCCTATTGTGCCTTTGTATGAAAAGCTACACTGTCTGTGTGTTAGTTTCTGATTCTGTAAGTTACAAATACCACAGGCAGCTTAAGAATCATGGAAGCCATAAAAATCATCCCTCTGAAATGAATTTTGAGTCAATAGTGGTATTGATAAAGTGCTTATAATAGCCAAACACACATGAACACACATATGGAAGAAGGAGGGTAAACAAAAAAAACTGGAGCTAGCTAGCAATGAGAAAATAGAGGCATGACTCTAATTCTCCTTATGTTTATGGTCATTCAAGCTGGTCCTAAAATAATGCATCAGTGCTCCAGAAAGATGGAAGGATGTTTTACTTTCATTTCAGGACCAGCTTTGGGCTGTATCTCTGCATGTGGTGGGCTGAAGCATTCTGATTAAAATAGGCGTTATCACAGTGACAGTTTTCTTATATAAAGATGCGCTTTGTGCAAATGTGACTGACTTCATAAATGTCTTAAGATGAGCTTAGATTGTGGAAAATTTGAAAACCTCAAAGGCCTCTTGTTTCTGTATGAAGTAGAACATTAAAAAGGAAGTATTGGCCAAATTCACGTATGTTGTTTTGCTACAAGTTATTTAGTCTGGAGTTAAAGGGAGTGTTTGGCAGCCAGTCAGTGGGATTGGTTCAAATTACTAACTCTGTAAACTCCTTCGAATCTTTCAGACTTGGTCTTTAAGGGTACGTATATGCTGGAAAAAAATTGAAATTTGAGAGTCAGATAGGCTAGATGTCCTTTGAGAAAGGTTTTATGATACAGTACTCGGAATGGACTCTCACCCATGCTCCCATGAGTGGAGCTGAATCTAGCGTAGCTGCCAGCCTAGAAGAATTGTGCCTTTCAAACTCTGTTTAGCTCCAAATGAAGTTTAGCTCAGTGATGACTTTTTTTTTTTTTGGTTATGAAGAAACATTAAGGATGATTGTTGTGAAGAACTGGTCCAAAACCACCTTCAAGTGGCATGAGTGAATGTGCAGCCATTTCAGTCTCTTTCAGGGAGGACCTCTTCTTCCTTCAGACATTCCACTTAGTTACAGATGGAGTTCCCTACAAAGCCTGTATCATCTGGTCATCAGGCAGTAGAAGGTCAGAAAAGTAGAACATTCTTTCTTTTCTTTTTCTGTCCTTCCTGTCACTCATCTTTCAGGCTTTGTATACTAAAAGCAATAGTTTTCAAGGGAGATCAAAGAATCTAACACAATGCTCAGTTTGTTGCTCCCAGCAGAATTTGGTACACAGCATTATCTTAGTAAAGACAAAGCCAAGGAATTTTTCTTGTTTGTTTGTATAGCGATAAACATGTCTTTGTTATTTCATTAGAGAATTTGAAGTCGGGCATGGCTTTTTACTGGGAGATCAACAGGAAGTACTTTTTTTATCCCTGGTTGTCAAAATTGAATTTTTATTTTGTAAATGAACTGCACACTGTATTTATAAAGGAACAACTAACACCTGATTGTTTTCCTGTGGCAAAGATACTCTGTCAGTGAAAATGTAATCTCTCAGTTAGAAATCCACTGTGATTTCAACTGACGGGTTCATAATCTGAGGCCCTCTGTTTCTCTCCCTGCCTTAGAATCCCCACTGGGATATACAGATTGTGTCATCTGATATCTGCCACAATTAGCCATACGTAATTGCCTTTATTTCCAGTATCTACAGAGAGACTGAGGACTCAGTAAGAATGGAAACTAAAACTGACATTCTTAGATGTCACAGAAGGAGTGGATGGATGGAGCCATATTGGAGAACCTGGAACTAACAAGATGCATATTTGGTCATGTCTGATACATATTCACCATTCTGCATATTCAGACATACCCACATTTAATGACATAAATGCCAACTGAAAAAAAAAAAAGGTTTTAGCTTTCCTCTGTTAATGGTTACCACATGAGTTTCCTAAATTGTTTTTGTACTCGTGTAACTTTCATATGGTCTTACTCTTCAGTAGTGATGCAACATGGTGATTCTGTTTCAAGTAAAGGAGAACAAAACCGAACGTAGCCGCTGTGTTTATGAATAAGGCTAATGAACTGAAAGTGGTGCTACCTGCCTTATATAGAATGGTTAGATTTGGAAGGGACCTTAAAGGTCATGTAGTTCCAAACCCCCTGCCACAGGCAGGTACAACTTATGCTAGATCAGGTTGCTCAAAGCCTCAGCTGACCTGACCTGAAACACTTCCAGAGAATGAAGATGATGTTTGAGGTTTTATTTATCAGCAGATAAGGGATTTTAAACTCCTCCATCTTGAAGATCAGCATTCAAAGCTGTAAGCATAGATATCATGTAACAAGCTTTACATGAAGTAAAACTGAAGTGATTATTCTAATACTGGTCATTTTGGGCATACCTAGTACGAAGTAGGTGGTTCCAGAAGTCTGAGAAAATTCATTATAAAATGATATCTGGTAATTTATTTTCTGAGAAAAACAATTCCGGAGTGCTTTCTGACCACTAGGAAACAAAGAACTTTATCACCTGATCTTAGAGGAATCCGCACCATTGCGAGTGCAAATGATTCAGATCTCCCAGACTGTTTGTTTGATAACCAGATAGTGACAATGACTGATTAATTGGCAGTAATACAAATGCTGTGTACAACCATAACTGTATTGAAAGATGATGCTGGATGTATAAAGACAGCTGCCCGTGTAGTGTTACTATATGGACATTTTGTGTACTGTCAAAACAGTACAGCAGTCTGATGTAATACAGACATCCTGCAAACATCTGCTCTTGGAAAAACACCCCAGAAGGTTTTGAGTGCCCACGTTCAAAATTTCTTCCCTTCTCATCTTAGCATGAAACAGGACATTATGGCTATTGGTGGGGTGGTTACATTCAGCATTATGACCAAACCTGTCACTATACAGATCAAGAGAACCTCATGTCAGCATACGAGTATGAAAGCATTTTAACTGGGTCTCACTTCTGAAGACCAGACATTTGAAGAATCCTGATTGATTCTCTTTGGCTATTTGTATCAAGATGATGAGCAGATTTGGCCCTCAAACATATCAGAAAAAATAATTTGATCAGGTTTTTTAATCTGCCCTTTTTCTGTTAAGTACTTAGGTAATTTATTTTTTTTTCATACTACAAACCTACTCTTTTCAGTGGTGTGGTAAATGCATACCAAGGACTGAATTTCAGTGGAATTCAGCACACATAGTCTGGACCACATTTTTAGAAGAATTTGAGCCACATGCAGGCACTGACATAAGTGGCTAGATTTTGAGAAAAGTTAATCCCACTTGGATTTTGAGCGCTTCTGAAAATAGTCATCTTGCTATTATTTAGGTGTCTGACTCATTACAAATTTTCCTTTGGAAAACCTTGCTTCTAGATATCTTAAGGGTCACGTAATCATCTGTGGTCTCCATGTTTGTTTTACTTTAAGGAAATGGGAAGGATAGATCTATTTAACAAGCATACAGTGACTGATCAGAAGATAGACTGTTCCAATGGCCATACTACTATTATTACATAAAACATCTGTTGCCTATGAAATTAAAGTAAAGCATGAGGACTGCCTGCTCAGTCAGATACTTCTTTTTTTTTCCTTGCATACTAGCATCCTTTTGGCTTCTGTGCCACTGTGGGAATGAGCTACATCTCTCCACTTGCCAGTTCAGGTTCTTTCTCTGAAGTGTCTCCTTAAGTTTCATTTGAAATGTTGCTGATGACAGAACTTTCTCTTCCTCTTGAATAAATGGCACTGTATTTTCGTGCTTTAATTGTCAAGCACTTTTTCTTTTGCCT